TTTCCCCGGTAACGGCTGTACACAAAGCAGCTCCAAGCTGCTTTATCAGGAATTATAGGTAAAATGAAATTAAAATGCCAACGACACGTTTCTGAAGACAGTCGGTTCCCTTCAGATACATTCAAATAAAGACATCCGCCCCGCGTTTTGACTTTAAACGTGCAGCGCTCATATTTATTCAATGACAACATTGCCTTTTGAAGTTTAATCCAGCCGTATCGCGACTCTTGTCATTCCCAAAATGTAAGACCTCTTGAAATTATAATTATAATTATAAAGAAATTTCTTATACCATTTAACGTATTTAAAACTTTTTATGGCCTTAAGTTTGATACAACTCCCTTTAGGAGTTTTTAAGTACCCGCGAGAGATCTGCATTTAATATAGGCTGTCGAGCAGAGTGGTGATATATTGTAAAAGCATCTGAAAACAAATTGCAAGAGGAAACTAGATTTTCTGAAGAAAACATGAGTGGCGAGTCTAATCATCAAGTAAAAAGTAATAATATTTTCTTTGAATACATGAGTGTATGCAGCTTTATCATCATTTTCAAAAAGGTTTTAAAACATATATTTTTATTTATTTATTTTTTTTAGATATATATAAATTAATATAAATCCAGCTTTTGTGAGCATAAGATACTTCTTTCAAAAATAATAAAATAAAATCTTACCTGCCCCAAACGTTTGAACAGTAGTGTACAAAAAATGAAACTAAAAAATGCTTTTTAAAATTGTCTTTAGTAAGCTTTAGTCCATGTAAATTAGATTTAAATATTTCTAGATATTCTAGATAGATAAGTTAAATTTAACACTGCTATCTTTTAACAGATGTTTGCATTTAAAATGTATTTTTCTCTAAAATATAATTTCAAAAATAAAAAATCTGCACAAAAATATTCTTTTTGCCAGTAGGTAACTAATTTGCCTCGTCTATTTGTAACATAGACACACAAGGTTTAAGCTTTAATTGCAATTAGATGAAATGACAGATGGCTGAAACATTTACTATTAACCCTAAAACAGGAAAGAGTGGAAAATGATCAGCAAAATATCATTTCATCTCACTTTTTATATCATCTGGACTTAAGTAAAACATATTGAAAGGAATTTTTGTAATATTTGATATATATTGGATTCTTCATTCTTTGGGGTGGGCAGTTCCACCCCTTGAGGTCCACTGTCCTGCACGGTTTAGCTCCATCCCTAAACAGAAACACATAAAACATCCCTAAAGATTAATCTTTAATGAGCCGAAAAGAACACATGTCACACCTCTGTTCATCAATTTGCACTGGCTACCAGTAGCTACTCGCATTAAATTCAAGGAATTAATGTTTGCCTACAAAACCACCACTGGCTCTGCACCCATTTACCTAAATTCATTACTTCAGAGTTATGT